CCCAGGATCTATACACGGCGGGTGAGGGAAAGGGGGCCCAGGATCTATACACGGCGGGTGAGGGAAAGGGGGGCCCAGGATCTATACCCGGCGGGTGAGGGAAAGGGGGGCACAGGAACTATACATGGTGGGGGTCATGGGAGTGGAGGGTCTGTACGCCTGTGTACACAAATGCTTATTTAATTGGCAGACTGGGCAGAGTGCCTGGCGGGGAGATGTTGCTGTGGTTACACCTGACCAGGCTATTCCAGTTTGTAGGTGTGCTGGGTTCTCCAGGGTCAATACAGCTGGCAACCTTCTCTGCATTGTGGTACCATTTGTGGGTCATGTCCTCTTGTCAAGGTGAAGCTGGGAGAAATTCCATCTCCACTGACTGAACTTTTGGTGGGAGCCCCCAGGGGCTTAGCTGGTGCTGGGATGGGTGCCCTGGCTGTGTGCGCTGGGTCCAGCAGGTGCTGAGAGACAGGAAGCGGATCCAGGATTTGGGCTGGGGGACTGGAGGCAGGAACTGTAGCACTGTCTGTGCAGGGGCATTCCTCCAGCAGCGCTCTCGGCAGCCGACATGCCCTCTCCAGCAGCCTAGCAGACAATTGCCCCATGACACAAACAGGACATGCTTCATTCAGCCCTCCTGGGATGTGTTAGAGAACCAGCAGGGTGACACCAGCCAGCCCTGTGGGGAGCAGAACCAGCGCCAAGTACCCTGCGCCCCATCTCTCCCTAGAGTGAGCAGCCAGACACCAGAGAGCTGTGTGTGGCCCAGGGAACCAGAGATCGAGTCTGGGATTTACTCACCTTTCTTTTTGGGGTGAGAAGAGTCCTCTGAGCCATGCTCATCCTCCGTCCAGCCCAGGGCAGCCAGCAGCAGGAGAGAGAGACCCAGCCTGGTGCAGCTCATCCTCCAACAAGGGCCAGTTCAGTGGGACGGCCCCACTTCTCCACTGCAGAGCCTGCCTCTGGCTGCCAGAGCAGCAGGAGCTGTGCTGGGCGGCCGGAGCTGAACTGTGTCTGCGTGAGAGGGAGAGAGAGAGGGCAGGAGCGGGAGGGGGCAGTGACTCACACAGCCTTTACCTTTTATAGAGACTGCAGGCAAAGTCTGCGGGGCAGGTGAAGGGTGAACGACATGCTGCACTGGGAGCTGCCTGAAGTTCAATGTCATTGCCAGCTGGGGGTCTGGGCTGGGACCAGGGTGTGCGTATCTGGAGCCTTAACGTGGACTAGAGCCAAGGGACGCGACCGGAGCTTGAACAGGGTTTCCTTTTCAGACAACCTCCCAGCAATGCAGTTCAAACACAGCCACAGCTCCCCTCCCATAGCAACGGGGCCTGGGAGCGACCCTCCATTATCCCCATAACCACAGCTCCCCTCCCATAGCAAGGGGGCCTGTGACTGACCCTCCATGAGCCCCATAACCACAGCTCCCCTCCCATACCAATGGGGCCTGTGACTGACCCCTCCATGAGCCCCATAATCACTGCTCCTCTCCCATACCAATGGGGCCTGTGACTGACCCTCCATGAGCCCCATAATCACTGCTCCTCTCCCATACCAATGGGGCCTGGGACTGACCCCTCCATGAGCCCCATAATCACTGCTCCTCTCCCATACCAACGGGGCCTGGGACCGACCCTCCATTATCCCCATAACCACAGCTCCTCTCCCATAGCAAGGAGGCCTGGGACCGCCCCCTCCATGAGCCTCATAACCACAGCTCCTCTCCCATAGCTATGGGGGCGGCGGCCTGACCCCACTCTCCTGTGAGCCCCCATTACCACAGAGCCCGTCCAATAGCAATGGAGCCTGGGACCGACCCTCTGTGAGTCTCATAAGCACAGCTCCCCTCCCCTGGCAATGGGGCCTGAGAACTAACCCCTCCATGAGCCCTAGAAGCAGAGCACCCTTCTCACAGCAATGGGGTCTGGGGACAGCACACAGCACCTGTGACCCATCCACATCATTGTAACTACACCCCCACCCTTCCTGTGACACAGAGGGCTCAGGAGCCCACACCCCAAGGGGTTGCCCTTTGATGGGAGAGTGAGGCCCGAAGCAGATATTGCCCTCATGCCACTGCTCATCAGAGCGAAGGACAATACACAGGAGTTTAAGTATATAGAGAACAAAAGGAATCCTAACAGTGATCATGGTCCATAGCTAGATGGGCCTGGTAGACCTGTCAGTAATAATACAGAAAAGGCAGAAGTGTTTGGTAAATATTTCTGCTCTGTATTTGGGAAATAAACAGATGATGTGTTCATATCCTATTATATGATGATGAAATATATTCCATTCCAATAGCAACCCAGGAGGATGTCAAACAGCAGCTTCTACTGTTAGACATTTCTAAATCAGCAGCTCCAGATAACTTGCATCCAAGAGTATTAAAGGAGCTGGCTCAGGAACTCAATAAGTCTTGGAACACGGGAACGTTCCAGAGGAGTGGAAGAAGGCTCTTGTTGTGTCAACATTTTAAAAGGTAAACCGGGTGACCCAGGTTACTTTAACCTGTCATCCTGACACTGATCCCGAGCAAAAACATGGAATGGTTGATATAAGACTAGATTAATAAATAATTAAAGCAATGCAATATAATTAATGTCCAACAGCTATTTCTGAGAACAGGTCTCATCAAAGTAACATACCGTTTTTTGATGAGATCACAAGTTTGGTTGACAAAGCTCATAGTAATATTTAGACATCTGTGAGGTATTTGACTTGGCACTGCAGGACATATTGATTAATAAACTACAGTGATATAAACTCAACATGGCATACATCTAATGGATAATAGACTGATTACACTGTAGGTCTCAGAATTTAATTATAAATGGGACGTCATCACCAGAGTGACTGTGTTTCTAATGGAGTCCTGCAAGGATCAGTTTTTGGCCTTACACTATTAAACATTTTTATCAATGACTTGGGAAAAAAACAAATTTTTTACTGATAATGTTTGCAGGTGACAAAGATTGGGGAAGTGGTAAATAATGAAGAAGACAGGTCACTGATAATACAGAGGGATCTTGATCACTTAGCAAATGGGACACAGGCAACAATATGCATTTAAATATGTCCAAATGCAAGGGCATACATATAGGAGCAAAGAATGTGGGACATACTTACAGGCAGGGGGACTTCATCCAGGGAAGCAGTGACTCTGAAAAAGAGTTGGGGGTTCTGGGGGATAATCAGCAGATCATGAGCTCCCAGGGTGACCAAAAAGGCTAATGTGACCTCTGGATGTATAGAGAGGGGAATAGTGAGTAGGAGTAGAGAGGTTATATCACATCTGTATTTGGCACTGGTTCGACCGCTGCTGGAATCCTGTGTCCAGTTCTGGTGTCCACACTTCAAGAAGGATGTGGGTACATTGGAAAGACCATTGAGAGAAGAGCCATGAGAATGACTGACTCATGGGAAAACATGCTGTGATAAATGAAGGGTAAACTCCCTTTTATGGACACCCAGACAGCCAGTTAGCTATAAAATCCCTCTTAGTAGCTGTTCTCCTCTTGCTCTACCTGTAAAGGGTTAAAAAGTCTCACTGCTATGCATAGGTAAAAGGGCGGGAGTGGGCACCTGACCAAAAGAGACAGTGGGAAGGCTAGAACATTTTAAAATAGAGAAAAACTTCCCCTTTGTCTGTCTGTGGTTGTTCTCCCAGGGAGAGAGACAGAACAGCAACTATGCTGTAAAAAGCTTGGGCTAGGTATGAAAAATCATTAGATCATACCTAGAAACTACTCATTTGAAACCCCAGATATGTAAGTAGATCAGGAAATGTCTAGGAAGACGCAATTAGGTTTAATCTCTTATTTCTTTATGGCTTGTAGATTCCTCTGTGCTAACTCCAGGTGCTTTTGTTTTGCTTGTAACCTTTAAGTTGGACCTCAAGAAAGCTATTTTTGATGCTTAATCCTTGTATTTGCTCTTTTAAAATCTAGCAATAGCCTGAGTTTTCAGAATTTTTTTTTTAAATAAAATTTACCTTTTTTAAGAACAGGATTGAAGTTCTGTGTCTTAAAAGGTTTGTGCACATGTTTTTTTTTATTAGCTGGTGGCAACAGATGATTTCTTTTTCTTTTCTTTCTCAACTCTTCCCCGGGGGTGGTGGTGAAAGGGCTTGAGGGTACCCCACAGGAAGGGATTCCCAAGTGAGCCTTCCTGGTCTCTCAAAGGGATTCTGCACTTGGGTGGTGGCAGCATCTACCCATCCAAGGTCAGAGAGAAGCTGTAACCTTGGGCGTTTAATACAAGCCTGGAGTGGCCAGTGTTAATTTTTAGAATCCTTGCGGGCCCTCACCTTCTGCACCCAAAGTGAGGAATCAGCTTTGACACATGCCATGTAGTGAAATTCTTAAGGAGCTCAATCTATTTAACTTCTCAAAGAGCTGAAGGGGTGATGATCACAACATATAACTACGTACATGGACATTAGCAGACAAAGGTATAACTCGACACACCAGCGGGAAGTTAAAGGTAGATGAATTCAGACTAGAAATAAGGTGCAAATTTTTAACAGTGATAGTAATTAACTATTGGAACAATGTACCAAGGAATGTGGTGGATCCTCCATCACTGGAGATTTTTAAATCAAGATGGGATGTTTTCCTAAAAAATACGCCCAAACTCCAACACAGCTCTTGGCCTTGCCGCAGGTTTTAATACAGAGAAGTTCTATGACCTGTGTTATGCAGGAGGTCAGGCTAGATGATCACAGTGGTCCATTCAAGTCTTAAAAGCCATGAATTCCCTAGCTAACCTCAGAGGCCATTCGCTCACATTTGCAACAGGGCCTTGGAGCTGTTACTCGGTTCCCCAGTCATGAATGGAGTTAGCTTCATATGCTTGGGAGGCAGGGCATGGTACTAGCCCCACTGTACAGATGGGAAACAGGCACAGATTTCAGAAGGGACTTGCCCAAGGTCACAGAGTGGGTCAGTGGCAGAGCTGGAAATAGACTCCAGGTCTCCAGAGTCCCAGTTCTATGCCATAACCACAGGTTACCCCGCCAGGATGCTAGTCTGCTAAGCTCTGCTTGTGGCAGTCGCGCCCTTCAACCCATAGGGAGTGGTTGCTCACAGAGCATGCAGAGTACCTCCCATCTCCTGCAAGCCTCCTCTGCAGTTTAACATACAGGCCCGAGCCAGCTTGCCCTGCTTCTATGCCTGCCCTTCATGCAATGGGCTCTTTCTGCCTTTGGGCACCCCGTGCTGGGACTGCTTCTTCAGCCTGGCTCACTGTGCCGAGGGCTCTTGCTAAATAGGTCACATACTTGGCAGGATCAGTGCATCCCTCAGGTGACTGGCCCCATTCTGCAGCCCTGTTCCTGTGCTGAACTCAGTCATTTGCCACCAAGTGGGGGTTGGAACCAGGGGAGGACTGCTCGTCGCTGGATTGTGCCGGGGGACCCCAGGGAGGAGCTGCCAGTACTGAGGAAAGGTGACAGCTGCCCTGGCTGTGAATGGAGGGAGGGAGAGGCACATTCCTCCCAGAACAACCTCAGCTGGAAATTCCAGGCCTGCTCAGGCTGCAGAGGGCAGCAGCCCAGGCCTGGCCACAAACTGCTCAGCAAACCCCCTGGCGAGTGTCCAAGCTCCTTGGTTGGGCAGCGGAGGAGCTGCCGCCCACTTGATGGCCTTCACCGGAGTGTACCTGCTGCCTCTTTCCAGAGCTGGTAGTGAGCACAGGTTATCCCTAATCCCCTTGTCTCCAGGCAAGTCGAATTCTTCTGTAGCTATAGCAGGGCTTGGCCCACCCCAAGAGACCTGCACCAGCCAGGCCAATGCAGGCAGCTCTGGACTTGCTGAGGGGATCTCTCTGTGCCCACGTGCCCTAGCCTGCATACCCCCTGGAGCTCTGGGTTGAACTGAGTGACATATTAAAAATATTTTTATATATTAAAAATGTACACACTTGGACTGAGGTAGAGATGGACATAGGAGACAGAAGTGTTGAGAGTCTCTGGGTTAGGCTAAAAGGGGTAAAAAACAAGGGTGATGTCATGCTAGGAGTCTACTACAGGCCACCTAACCAGGTGGAAGAGGTGGATGAGGCTTTTTTTAAACAACTAACAAAATCATCCAAAG